ACATCTATATCTCTCTCCCTCTTTCCCCCTCTATCTCGCTCGCTGTCCATATTAATTCAGTTTCTTTATAAAACTTCATAATTTTTTATGCATTTCTGAACGAGTATGCAGCAGTCGGTAGCATGCGAAAGCATCATTCATTGAATGTTTTTGTTTTTGTTTTTCGTACTGCCTGCCTGGCGGGTATTTAAAATTTCCTCATGTCGATGCCGCCACGCTCAGTCTCGATCGCAGTCTCAGTCTCGGTTTGTCTCGGTCCCAGTTTTGGGTCTCAGTTTTTCGGTTTCGGTTTCAGTCCGAGTTGAGCGTGCGTCGGCATTGGCAGCAACTACTCCTCCGTTTTCTTCGATCAACAAAATTTGTGTTGTTATTTGGATTTTGATTGAATCCAAGTTTTTTGGTTAGTTTACGCCACAGTTTATATTATATATATAAAATAAAAAGTTTTCAAAACTGTATCAAGTGCATAGAAACCATCAAGTGAAATCCGCGTCGAACGTAAAAGCCTTGAAAATTTGTGCCGTGCCTAAGAAATAAACGCTAAAACTATTGAAATCGAATTGAGAATCGATTGCCAAACAAAACAAAATCGATGCGAAACGGAAGCGCGCTGACGAAAGCGCCTACAACGAAGCCTTACGGCTTCTTTTTTTGTTAACTATTTCTTTGAAATATTTGAGACAGGAAAAAATGAACTAACTGATCTATTGATATATCGTCGTTGACTTTTGTTGACTTTGCCTCTGCGTCTATTGACACGCTGCCTTTTCACTCTGCCTCCCAAGCCCAATTTTCAATTGTTGTTTGTGTTTTCCGATAGATGTGTGTGTGTGTGCGCCTGTACGTGTGTGTGTATGTGTGCGTGGATGTATGCGAAGTTGATTTGTTTTTCACGTTTTGCGCGCTCTTGCTGGAAAATTCATTGGCGTTGCGTTTGGTCTTTTATTTAATTTGAAGGTTTCGGTTTTTCGGTCTCTCGCTTTTCCGTTTTCGCCTGCTCAGCACAATTTCTGTCGTCATTTTTAATTTTTTGTATGTTTTCGACAGCGTGGCCAATTTTGTTTTATATGATTTATTTCACCTCTGCCCAGAGGCTATAAATATATATATTTTGATGGCACAAACCGGTTGGGTAAACACAAAAAAATAAATAAAATAAAACTCCTTTAAAGTGTGTTTTATTTATTTATAATTTCTTTTGACTTGACAGCAGCCGCTGCTCGAAACAACAAAATTCAATTGTCTATTTGTTGTTGGCAAAAAAAAAAAATAAACGAAAAAAATAGAAAATAAATACTATAAAGTGCGAATTGCTCGAGTAGCAGGCCGCTATTTCACACCCATTAGCGGAAGACATTGTGCTTTCAATTAGGCGCGGCAAGTTCGTTGCCTAAGTCTTTTGATTTAGCGACATTGACAAGGCATCAATTATGTCAACACACACACATACTCTACAATTTGATTGAACCCGTCAAGCGTATGCTGTTTCAATGTTAAGGTCTGACAACAATATGCAAATGGCAGAAAAAACGTCAACAGCAACAGCAAAAGCAAACGTCAACGCAACAACTACAACAGAGTAATACGCACTATAAAAAAAATAAAAAAAAATAGCGATTTTTATTTGTGAAGACTCGTCCCCAATTTGGCTATCAAGTTCAGCAAAAGCATGCCATGCATAAATAAACAAATTGTTACACATTTTGTTGCTATGCCGGAAGCAGACACACTCAGCCGAATATCAATATATATCTATATATATATATATATATATGCATATAGCTGAGCATCTATAGCAAAAGCGAAAAGTGAGATTCGAGAGAGATTTCATCCGTTAAATAGAAAGTGCCAATAAAACGTGCTCGGTATTTCTTCTCATAACTATATTCGTCACAGATTTTTGTAACTTTTATCTTCTTTTTCGCCCTTTTCGTTATTTTTTTGCCAGCCCTTATAAACGTCACCAAATTGCCTTTTCTGCTTGTTGTTGTTGCATTTGGGCAAACAGGTCAAATAGCTAAGCATGTGTGTAACTGAAAGAAATTTCAAAAGATTTAATATGCATAAACGATTTTGCTCTCCTCACATTTGAACATTGTTAGCCATAAATACCCGCAGTTAACAATAATATATAGAAACACTCAGCGACTCGACGCTCTGTCATTTTGTTTTAAACGAAATTAGCAAGCGAAACGCAAACCCAGCAAAATTATGCAAATCTTCAAAATGGGCTTTTGTATATATATATATATATATTTGTATATATATGTCTATATACATATATATAGAAGCATATATGTAGTTGATTGTTGAGGCAGATGCACACGCTCGTACGCCAGTTTATCTATATATGAAGTAGACCTTTAGTATTTGCCCGACCCATAAGCAAATAATATTTAACAATCCTGCCGCTTCATTGCGCATTGTGCTGCGAGGAATGCATAAATGGCAATCTTCTCAACATTGCTTATATAATACGTATACGCATTCGAACAGCTGTAAAAACAATGCATACCCTATAAAGTAAGCCTGATAAGTAAGTTTGATAGGAAACGCAAACTTTTGAGACTGAATGCGGAAAGGTAGACAGAAAGAAAATGAGTTATTTGAATCTTTATGCGTCTGGCCTTTATCGTATTTGAATCTATCGATGCAAATTGATTCATATTAAGTATATTTTTGATGATATGGAAGGCAAAAATCGAATCTAAGTTCATTCGTTGTGTCACTTCCTGGGATTTCTGCAAGACAATTGCAAACTTTGCTACAATTTAGGGAATTTAATTTAAAGTAGGCCACATATACATAACAACAAACAAACGGTATTATTTTAGGAATTAGTTAATCAGTTAAAGCTAGATAAATTCCAAAAATTTCATTTCACATATTCAAAAAAGTTTGTGATGAATGTGGCTGTCGTAGTTTCTACGTGATTTAGGTGCTAAATAAAGCTTGAGTAAATAAGGGCTTTCCAATTCATCAATTATTTATGTTAAATTCACGAATATATTCTATATGTGGATATGAAAAGTCTCGGGGCATACGTTTTGCGTTGCAGTTCATTGACTTTGAGCTTTGAGGCTTAACCGACAGCGCTTATATAAAAGCGCTTTAGGTCAATTAAAATTATGCTGATGTTGCCCAAGACCTGGTCCACATAGAGTTTCATTGGAAACCAGTTTGAGGGCTAAGCAACCAACAGCATGATGCGGCATTCTGCGCCTGAGATCTTAGTTAGCAATTCAATGCAGCGGAAGCATAGTTTACATAATTCTGAGCTCAATGTCAACATTGAAAGCGCCTTGAAAAACGGAAATATATGAAGAGAAAAACAAAACTGAAATCGAAATAAAACCGAGTCATTGGGCAATTAGCCAATCGGTTGGGTAAAAATATATAAATTTTGACGGCTTTTCATATGTGAAAATTGAGCACTAAACGAAGGCTATTGCTAATTAATTAAAAGCCAAAAAAACGCAATTATGATAGATATTAAGAAGTTAGACACATGTGCAATTAGCATTAGGTTGTCAAAAGGAAACAAAAACTAAGGAAATATCCACTGTTATCTGGGGCACTGGCTTATCGATGCACGAAAGCGAAAACGAAGTCGATACTTGTCCCTGACCGTGCAGCTTAAACATTAAAAATTTCAAAATTAAGTAACATGATAGAAAAATTTTTAAATTTGATAAAAATAATCAAAGCAGCCACAGCAAACCCAGCAATCTGACTAGCTGCAGACTTAAACAAATCTTTTATTGTATTTCGAGTTACCTTTCAACGCGGCCTTGACACAAATACACACACGTCGAACAAATCACTGAAAATGATCAAAATTAATCTCAGACAAACAAAATAACAGAAATGAAATAAAATAAGCACAGCTACGCAGTTTTTGCCACAATACGCCTGGGACCTTAGGCAACCACATAAAAAAATGTAAAAAATCCAAAATATAGTGAACTAAAATCATGTGGCTCGCTTTTGTAGCTTACAAATATTCGCGTAATTATCTAATAATTGGTTAAAGTACCTCGCTTAACACACGCCCCATCAAATCAAGGCAGTCCGGCCATATGTGCAACGTCTAAATACCAAGCGATACATTCATCAGCTCCTTGACTTTTACAACGAAACAGTTTGCAACACTTCATTACTTAATTTTATAATTTTTATTGTTTAGCCCTAATATTATTGCATTAGAAGAATTTCAATGGCAATATACATCGCCATCGTTATTGATTATCAATATCAATCGTTGACAGCATTGTCATAGTTACTATTATTTTTCTATTGCTACTATTTCCTAATATAATTTTATCAACATGTTCATCATTAAAATCATATAAGCTTATGTCCGTATGAGCGCTATAGATTTTCAATTTTAAATGTTTTTCCTGTATAACATGCTCTACGAGCTTACCTTTTTACGAAACTCATGAGCCTAGTATCGACGATAAGTTTCCTTAACGATACCATAATCGTTGACAGCACTGTGAATAATTGTTCTACTCAGCAATTTTATTTTAGTACTCAATTTCAATTTTCCTCTTGACATAAGAAATCTCTATCCTGTTCATTGCTATTTTCCCAATATAATTTCCAACATTGTGTTTATCATTAAAGTCATATAAACATATCTCCTTATGAAAGCTATAAATTTAGAATTTAAAATGTTTATTCCTGTATAATACCATGCCCTACGACGAGATCTTTTTACGAAACTCATACCTTGTATTGACGAAATTACCTGGTTAACATAGCGATGTTATTTTTTTAATCTCCATACAATTACATACAATAGTCATTATCCCACTTTGAAATTAAATGAAGAAAACCTATTTAAAGGCTGTCAACGCTGTTCCCACACCCACAAGCGCCACGTCGCTGCGTAAACTGCGCAATAAGCAGAGCTAATGTAGGCATGCGTGTATAAATGTGTGTAGCAGATACCCTCCCAAGTTAGCAGTGCCCGAGACTAAGTGTCTAGCTTCACCTACCGCAATATTTTTTTTATTTAATATATAAATAGGGAAATCGTCCTAAATCATTTATCAAGATAATTTCTTTGGTCCTTTAAAATTTTCAGATTAATTGGCAGTCTTTGGTTTGGGTTCCATAGCATACTCAATTCCATTAGCATACTTGCTTCAAGCAGTGAACATTACTAAAGTTCTGCCATGCATCGCAAACGGTTTGACGACCGTAACCAGTGTATTCACTGTGCGGTGTGAAATGGGTGTTCACGTTGAGCATATTGGAAAAGCTGTCGGTTGGTGTACGCTTGCGACTTAGACTTTTAGATCGAAGGGTCATCTTGAAGCGTGGCGGCTCCACAAATTTACTCTGGCCTTGGGTTTTGCGTGCGATTGCCCGCTTTACACCATCAAACCGTTTATAGACAGGTCGTGGCAAGCCCTGCCAGGCAAGCTTTGTTCGTGGTAGCTGCTCTGGCAGCTCCATATCCTCCAGCTTTTCCTCCACTTGACGATCTGAGTACTTTGTTTTTGGAGTGTTGAACACATGCGATTGAAGCAAGGACGTTGGCTGTTTCGTTTTGTCCATTTTCAAACGATTGAAGTCATTGAGAAGCACAAGTTGCTTCTCCATGCCGCTGGGTCGACGACGTTTGGTATTAGCCAAATCTTTTGTTGGATGCTTCTGAACAGCGTTCTGCATCGGTCGCAATGGAATTTGAGTTTTTACTGTCAATTGCTGGGAATGAGTCTGGAAACGACGTACAGAGCTATCATACGGCAGTGTTGGCTTAATGAAACCACGCCGATCAGATTTCTTATAACCGGATGAGCTTTCATCGGACTCGGCGTCCGGATTGCACCGCTCATTCGGACAAGTGGTCCAACTATGCCAGTACTTAGCCTCTTGCTCTTCCGTTTTCCGTGCCAACCACTCTTTATCAATGGCCTCGCTAGCAGGCTGAGAGGTTTCTTCTGCTTTGGGTAGCTTGTAACCTTTTCGCGATTCTCGCAATTCACGCTCTTGACGTTGTTTCTCTTTTTGTCTGTGTTCACGACGGCGTTTGCTATAATCCTCGGCACTTTGATCCTCGTTAGGTCGTCGCTGATGCCTCTTGCCGGGCTTGTCTGCCCCAAAGATATCACTGGTACGCTCATACTGGAGCTGAGACGGCGACTTTGGCTCGACGCGTTTTTGCCAGCGCCGTCTGTTGTCCTCGATGATGCGTTCCTGGCGACGCTGATGATCGATAGTATCCTGAGTGATCAAGCGTCTAGATTCTGGATCCCTATTACCCTTATAGGGAGAATCGGTCTGGTCATAGCCTTCACCTTGATCGTATTTACTGTAGTGCTGATTACCATAACGCGAATCGGCAAACTTGTCATCGCTGTACTTTTTATTCATTTGCTTGAGTGCGTCGTCACCACGCTTCGCCTTCCAGTCTTTTGGCTCGTCAGAGCGAAAATGACGTACCTGGTTGTGGCAGCCAGCGGTGGTGGCGATCGAGCCATGGATGTCCCTAGCCATGCGGGAAACTCGAAATTGCCGAAACATGCGCGTGTAAAGTTTCAAGCTCTTTACCATATTCATTGCGTCAAAGTTTTTTTCGCTAATTAACCGTATTGAATTTCGAGATATGTTTTAAAGGAATTTTTTGATTGGACTTCCAAAAGTAGAGACCAAAATTTTGTGAACTGTATTCCCCCAAAGCTGAACTTATACTAACTACTGTAGACACACAATCTGAAAGACTAAAGAAACTCCATCAAGCAAAATAAGGAGACAACCATCATGGCCTACTTTAACTATTTGGAATTCTAACAGCCAACTTTATAAAGTGTTCTACAAATTTTTGACTTCAAAGGCAAACTGCATCGTTTGTGTTGCACTTTAAATAAAGCGAAAAGCAAAAATAAATCTTTTTCAATATTTTGATATCTCAATCGAACACTTGAAGACCTAAGCGCATTAAATTTGATATAAGGGCTCTCGTAAGCGTATGATCATTTTTTAGCTTCCCTGACTCAATGGCAAATAGAATTTGATAAAAATAAAACAATAAATAATTTAGTAAAATAAAGCAATGCCATACACAGGATTGAGTTCCTGAGACTATTTAAACTTATTGATATCTTCTTTCTATGTCTCTCAGTTCACAACCGTTGACACACCCAGCAGCAAATTGGCGCCACCCACAAATCTAGAGCCCTACACCATGGCCGTCATAACGGAGCATGGCAACAGCAATCGCCACAACAATAACAGCGATAGCAACAGCAAGATCGGGATTAGCAAATCGGACACTGATGCGGCACCGCATCCCCAGCGACAGCTGAGTAATGCATTGACCATACCCGAGTTCTTTGCGCATAAGAACATTTTTGTGACTGGCGGCACAGGATTTCTGGGCACAGTGCTGATCGAGGCGCTGCTGGACACACATCCCGACATTGGCACCATCTACGTGCTGGTGCGCGGCAAGCGGAATCACGATCCCAAGGAGCGCATAAATCGCTTGCTCCAGAAGCCGGTGAGTATCTTGGAGCACACGTTGATCTCTGCCCTTTTGTCATGCCCCTGACGCCGCTTTGACACTTGGCTGACCCATTTGTAGGCCCCGAGCCTCATTATTTTGAGACAATTACTGACCGTCTTTATGGCGCGTTAATTTGTCGAAGCTGAAGTGCCTTCCGCTCGGGCGTCTGGGTCTGCCTCTCTAGCAGCTCTTTGTAATGCCAACCATTTTTATAACCGTACCTACACACCTGTATGTATACACCTGTATGTGTATGTGCTTCTTTCAGCCACACTCTCTTGACTCTTTTCCATCATTATAATTTTAAACGCACTTTTAATAGCATAATAACAAATTGTATTTCGGTTTATTTTTATTTTTATTTTTACTCGCTCTTAAGCATACTCCAAACATAAAGCAAAATAATAAATCCGATGAAAGTTTCAGTTTTTTTAAGTTTTTTTTGTTTTCTTTGTTTTTTGTTTGCTTTTTCCGTGGGCTTTGTAATTATCACATTATGGAATAGGTGCTATATAAGCACTGAAATGAACATAAATCAAAGATGTGTATATTTATTTGTATTTTATTATTTTATTATATATATTTAATTTATGTTTTTTACTTCTTGAATATAAAAAATATTTTTCAATTTTCCTCTTAGAATTTTTCTCCTTTATTTTATATTTTAATTTAATATTTATTAAGGATTATATCTGAAATGAGTAAAAAGTAAAGATGGTACAATAAGTTCATTTATTTATTTTATTAATATGTATATTTAATTTACATTTTTTATTTTATTTTAAAATATAAAAGATTCTTTTCTTTTATTATATCATCTAAGATTTTTTCTCCTTTATTTGCTTTAATATTTATTGAAGATTATACCTGAAATGAGTAAAAATTAATGATGGGACATGTTTATTTATTTATTTAGTTTCATATATATTTAATTTAAATTTTATATTTTATTTTAAAATATAAAAAAATCTTTTATTTACCAAAATATCATCATTTAATCTTCTGCCCCACAGATCTTCCAGAAGTACAATGAAAAGACCTTAGCCAAGGTGGTGCCAGTTGTTGGTGAACTAACCGAGCCGAACTTTGGCTTTGCCAACGAACTGCTACAGGAGCTGCTCGACCGAGTGAATGTGATCTATCACAGTGCTGCGACAATCAGATTCAATTCACATTTGCGCACGGCGATCTTCACGAATCTGACGGGCACCATGCGGACCATTGAGCTGGCCAAGCAGTTGAAGCAGCTGTCCGCCTACATTTACTGTTCGACTGCCTTCTGCAATAGCAACAATCGTGGTCTGATAACCGAGGATGTGTACAAGTCACAATTCGATCCATACGAAATGATGAAGATGGCTGAGAACGATGAGGCTTGGGTGGATTTCACGCAGCAAAAGTGCAAGAGCTACCTCAAGGATCATCCCAATACGTATACGTTTACCAAGAATCTCTCCGAGAATCTGCTCATGGCAGAGATGGCCGGTCTGCCGGCAGCCATAGTTAGGCCATCCATAGGTGAGCCTAACTGAAAGACTATTATCTCTAAGTAATGAACTATCTGCTATTACAGTATACGGCACACTGGAGCACCCCATGAAGGGCTGGGTGGGCAATGCCAATTCGGGGCACTTGGGCTTTCTGGCTGGCTTTGTCAAGGGCATCTTTCGCACCATGTCCGGCAGTGCGAGTGCCGTAATTGATATCATACCATGCGACTATGTGATCAACAGTTCCCTGGTCATGGGCTGGTATGTGGGCACACGTAACATCGATGAACCGGAGATAATACACTGTACATCGGGCGAGGTGAATCCTCTCACCCTGTCGCAGTTCTGCAATATAATCAACGATAGCGTGGAACGTCATCCGCCCAACAGTTTTGTCTGGAAGCCATCCACAAAGCTGCGCAATGGCTGGCGCTACAATCTGTTCTTCTATCTGTTCCATCTACTGCCCGCTATGATATTCTATATACCGGAGAAACTGTTTGGCATTGGCATGCCGCAGCACACGTAAGTGTGAATTCCCTTCTAGTGTGATGTGATCCGATCTCAATTTGTAACTCTCTCTCTCTCTCTCTCTCTGTCTGCTTGCAGCGCCTATGAGTATATGCGCGTCTTTCAGAATGGCACCAAGGCTTTCGATTACTTCCTGGACAAGGACTTCCGGTATTCCATGAAGAATGCACTGCGCGTCTCCTCGCTCATACACGAGAGCGATCGCAAACGCTATAACTTTGATGCCAGCCGCTGCGATTGGTCAGAGTTTATCGATCGTTGTCTAATTGGCATTAGGCGTTTCTACTTCAAGGAGTCAGCAGTGACTACGCAATGGCATCGCAACTATTGGAAGGTGTAAGTGGTCAAATTGTTAATTGCCAAGCTCTGAATTTAGAATACTGTTTCAATGTATCGAATAAGTCGTAAACTATCAAGTCCGATATTTTATTTATCGATTCTTATTGATCACTGCTCATGATCGTCATTTCAGCTTCAACATCCTGTACTACGCCGGCTTCGTAGCGATCTTTGCTATACTCTACTTTGTGCTGACCCCCTTCTTGGGCTTCCCCATTGGATTTACCATGGCGCTCTTCGTATGGGCCTTTCTGGTCTGGTTGTAGGATGATCTTCAATGGCATCGGTAGATCATACGTATTGTGCAATATTCTATCACACATACACTCACACACATACACACCCACTCACGTTCAGCTCAGTCGTTTCCATTGTTCTTCATAGGGTATCATCATGTAGTTTTACTTTAAGCTCTCACACTTGAGTACAAGTCAGCTATATAGTAAAATCAAATAAACGTATCTATCAACAAAAACAAAGCAAATATATATACAAATACAAATACAACACAATGTAAACAAGCCCAAAACTTAGCTCAAATCGTAGTCACATAATAACAAATAGTCCTGGTATATAGTCAAATAGTTAAATGTTTGTGCACTTGTAAATTACGAAAACTAAACGTAAACGATTAAAATATGAATTATGTAAACTATTAATGAAATAAATATGACAATTTAAATGTTAAGCTAAATATCAAGAGTTTTTTTTCTTTTAAATTGTTCCCAATGTTATAATACTGAAATTTTGGCAGCCACTTTATCTGGGCTAGGTAAACCTGTTAATTAGACAATTGAACAACGAGGAAACAAGTTGGAGTCCGTTGAAGTTTGGTGTTAATGCTGTCCCAAAATTACTTTTTCTATAAATTTTATATAATTAAGTACTGTTCCCAAACAATAATTTCATCATTCATCATCCTTAAAATGTTTAAAATATGTTCCTAAACACTAAATTATTAAATAGTATTTTTAATTTTGATTATTTCATAGTTGATAAGAAACTTTTTTAAAAGATCAAATAATAGTTTTCAATTTATATATATATATATATATATATATATATATATATATATATATATATAAGCCGAATATGTCATTAAAATATTTTTCACTAATATCCACAAAAGATACTTTAAAATTTCAGATCGAAGCTGATTTAAATAAAAATCCCTAAGGTATGCTGCAGTTTGTTCAGTTGCCAACAGCTAAATAGTTTAGAAAATCGTTTTAAAGTTTACTAACACTGTAAAAATATACAGTAAAAATATTTTAAAATTTCGGGAAGACATATTAATGTTTACTTAATTATTATTATTATTATTATAATTATTATTATTTTAATAATATTTGTATTTTGAATGTAAATATATAATTGTAACCCCATGTCTGAAACGCCACTGCATAACTGGTTTCACACTTCTCGTCATGATAATGACGTTGTTTCTCATCGAGTCGTAGACGCGCCGAGAGAACGCATTGAGACGAATCAACGAGAGCCGACGAAACAGTTTCCATTCGGCCGGCGAACGTGCAAGTTGTACTCCACGCAGAGTTCCGAACGAAACAAGCATACACATCACACGCCAATACAGAGAGCAACGTAACTGTTCACAGACACACATACGAGCATATGCATGAATATAAGTGAGTGTGTGTGCGTGCATATTGTTTACTGCCGCAGCGACAGCGCTTAAACAAACAACAAAGTGAAGAGGAAGAAGCGACGACAAAAAGAAGCTCAGTTTAGCGAAGTAAAAGAGAAATTTTCGGCTCTTCGGCGTTAGATCCAACCAGATCTATAAAGCGAACGCTATATATATTGAACTGAATATCAATTCGTGCATTTCATCAAC